TACGCCCGTGGTCCCAACACAAGAATCGCGCTGCAGCGGAAGCTACCGAGGAGCCCGACGGCATGCGTCGCCAAGACGACCGCCGCGTCCTCCGGCAGCACGGTGTGCAGACGCGAGAGCACGGTGATTGCCGTCGGTTGGTCGAGGCCGCTCACACAGTCGTCCAAGAGGTAGAGGGCGGCGCGTTGGTACAAGGCACGCGCAAGACCGACGCGGAGTCGCTGGCCGCCGCTCAAGTTGGCGCCGTTCTCGCTAAGGAGTGTGCGGTCGCCGAGTGGCTGCGACGCCAAGTCGACGTCGAGGCAGCACACAGCGAGCACCTTCTCGTAGAGCGCGTCATCGATGCTCGAGTCGTCGTCGGTCGCTAGCGTAATGTTGCGCCGGATCGACGCTGGAAAGAGCCACGGGGTTTGGGGCGCGAACGAGACGCGGGCGCCCCGGGGCGCGAAGCGGTCACCGTGCATCAGCGGCATCTCGCCGAGAAGCGCCAGCAGCAGCGACGTTTTGCCGCAACCCACGGGCCCCGTGAGCACGAGGACATCGCGTTTCTGCAGCGTGAGATGGTCCAAGCGTACGTCGAAAGGCGTCGCGTCGGGCGCCAAGAGCGGCGTCGACTGTGTTCGTCCATCAATGTCGTCCACGCAAAGTGGCAGTCGCGCCACAAAAAAGTCGTGTGGCCTTCGTCCGGCGCCTCCAAAATGGCACGCGACGGACCACACGTCGGAAAGAGGAAGGCGCGGAGGCGCAGCGCCGAGACGCGGGCCTCCAGAAAGCCGTTGATGATCCACGGAAAGTAGTTCATGGGGAAAATGAGTCGGTCGAGCAGCGCAATGGCCGTGAACGCGTTTGCGGCCGTGAGGTCATGGCCCGAGTAAATGACGGCGACAAAGACTGACGACTGGACAATGACTGGCGTCGACGCCCAAAACACGACGCAGAGCGCATCGAGGTACTTGCGCACACGGAGACGCTGCATCTCGAGGGACCGCGCGGCTTGCATTTTATCGAGGTAGACGTCGGTCCACGCCAAGAGCTAACCGCATGATAGACATCGACGCCGAAAATATCAACTTGATACCTTGAGGACGCGAACGCCTTGGAGCAGCATCGAGCTCCACTCGACGCGGTCGTCACGAAAGGAGAGCATCGCGCGTGTGACGCGTTGCAGCGTCGATCCAAGCCACGCTTGAATTGGTAGCATGACGCCGAGGACAACCAATCCTGCGACGAACGCGTACGAGACCTCGCGCCCGAGGAGGTAGAGCGCGATGGCAATCTCCATTGGAATAAGAACCATGTCGAACACGGAGCCCGGCATGCCGACGAGGCGGCCAAGGTCCACGGACACGTAGTTGGTCAGGCGGCCGATGCCGTGCGCGGCCTTCTCGCTTGCCGAGAGCTCGAGCGTCCGTCCATAAATGGCGGCCATAAGACCCGCGCGCAGCCGAATGTCGAAGCGCGTCCACGCCAAGCCTAGGGCTCCATCGTTTCGACGTGGTCGGATATGGACGCGGCGCACCATATTGGGAGCCGGAGAGTGCGCTGAGGACGGATTGGCCGCAGATGGCACCGGCCAACACGTAGCCGCGGGACGGTGTCGGGTGCTCGGCCCACTCGAGAAATTCCTACTCGATACATTGATACTAAAATCTAGTGACAAAAAGAGGGTACTTTGATGAGGAAGGGATTCGCAAGCGAAAGGAGCTTGTTGCACGCCGACCAGAGACCGAACCCGACGACTTGCCAGCCGTAGAGGTGGCGGAGAAGCCGGAAAAAGGACGGCGACGCCCGCCGGCGCTCGCGTAGAAGCGCCGACTGGAACGCGTGGCTCGCAGACGCCGTGTGGTCGGCGCGCGGCAGCGGCGGAATGTCGGCCATCTCGAAGCGCCGGCGTAAGCCGAGCGTCACGAACGGCGAGACCCAGAGGTACAGCAGGCGCGAGACGAGCGATGCGTGGTCGTACGGACTTGCGATATCGTGAGGACGACGCGCCATCGCGGGCAAGAGAGCCAGACACCCGAGAACGACATTGACGCTGTGCACACTGGCGAGACAGAGGTGGTCGTAGCGCTCGATGCGCGGCGCCCCCGAGAGGTACACCGCGTGTCCTGCCAACGCGCCGCGAACGACCAAAAGCACGCGCAGCCACGCCGTCTCGCCGTCGTCGAGCAAGATCGCTGCATAGAAGGCCCACGCGACACCTTGCGCCGTCAGGTTGATGTCCTACATCATTATCATCATCCACAATGGCGGCAAGCGACGCGTCGGACCTGCGACGGCGTCGTGGTGCGGTGCAGCATGCTGGTGATGGCGAAGAATGCGATGCACAAAAACACTTGGAGTACCGCGAGCGCGTACTTGAGGCGGAGGCACGGGCGCTCGATGCGAGGACACTGGCCCGCCACGAGCGTGCGCATGCGAAGCATGCAGAAAAGCATGAAGAGCACGGCGAGCCCTGGCAGCGCAGACCATAGTGAGACCGTGCGATTCGACGTCACGCAGTACCGTCCAGCAGCGCTGCGTGGGAGCAGTCCATCGCGTCGCAGTAGGATGGCCACCAGCCGCCCATCATCATGATCGCGTCGAAGTGGCAGCCACAATCCGATGCGAAGTTGCACTTCGAGATCCGAACTTCGAAGGCAGCACGTGGCGCCACGTCCGATCGCGAATCAAAACGCAGAGGTTTGATCGCGCCGCACGTTTTGCATCTCTAGAGATGTCGGCGAGGAGATTTGCCTCCAACGTGAGATACCAAGTAAAGTATTCTGTGATTAGCATCAAGGACGCTCCTCACACCCTAAACGACGACCCGAGATGACCCAAGTATCAAGTCGCCAAGATCAACATGATTGTATGGACTTAGCACCCTTTTGCACGCTTGTTTCGAGAATCTACTGCAGGAGGAGGTCCAACACGCCACCGTCTTTTGCGAGGTTGTAGAAGACGCTACCAGCGTCCTGGACCAGCGCGCGTGGCGCACCGAACGCAACGACCTGACCAGCGTCGAGCACGAGCACGCGGTCCGAGTGGACGACCGTGTGGAGGCGGTGGGCGATCGTGAGCACCGTAGCGCTCTGGAAAGCAGTCGCGATGACCTCCTGGAGGTGGAGATCCGTCGCCTGGTCGATCGCAGCCGTCGCTTCGTCCAAGACGACAACTCGCGCCTGCGCCAGCAGTGCTCGCGCCAAGCACAGCATTTGACGCTCGCCGACGCTCCAGCTGTCGCCAGCCTCGTCGTGCAGCGAGGCCGCAGACAGCTGAACTTTTTGCAGCGCCGCATAGAGGGCGTCGTCGGTGGCAGCGTGGAACGGATCCAAGTACGAGCGCAACGAACCTCTAAAGAGGACCGGGCTCTGGGGAATGATCGAGATCTGGCGACGCAGCGCGTGCAGCGAGAGGGACGCAATGTCGCGCCCGTCGATGCAAATGGCGCCGGACGCGAGCGGGTAGAGCCGGAAGAGCGCCATGGTCAGACTCGACTTGCCGGCGCCCGTGCGGCCGACGATCCCAATCTTTTCGCCCGACGCAATCTCAAAGTTGAGGTTTTGCAGCACCAAGTCGGCCGTGGGCTTGTACCGAAAGGCGACATTCTTAAAGCAAATGTCACCGCGCGCGAGGTGCCAGTCGTCGCTCACGAGCAGGGACGTCGTCGCTTCTTCGGACGCGACGTCGCAAAACTCGAGGACGCGTTCCGGCGACACCATGTTGAGCTCCAAGCGCGACCAGCCCTGGACCAGTGCCGCCAAATGCGCATTCGCGACCAAGATGTAGTTGAACGCGAGGCCGACCGTGCCCGCCGAGAGGTACGGGCGCAAGTGCACGAGGCTGAGAGCGACGACCATGACGACCGCCGTGCCAGAGAGCTGCACCATGAGCTCGAACCACTCGTCCACAATGACCTTGGCGAGCGCAACGCGCATGTTCATGTCGACGTGGTGGGCGTGGCGCGCCGCTTGCTTGGCCGTGTACGCATCGCCAAACGCGCGCACCGTCACAAACCCTATTCCCCGTCGTCGTGTGTGAGACATGACGCACTCGATCGATGGAGTGTACCGTGTTCAATCTCGTCGAGGAAGCTCAGCACGGGCGAGTCGGTGGTCTTGGCGAGGCGAGAGAGGTCCCGCGACGGCCGCAGGTACACGGACGTGAGCTTGAAGTAGAGAAAAAAGATGGGGAGAAAGCAGAGGCCGGCCCAGCGCACCTAATTCATCATGACATGTGCGCCATGCAATGGAACATGGATGTACGACGTAGATGGAGGTGGCCAAGGACGCTAGAAGGATGGCGGCAAACGACGTGAACGAGCCGTAGTTGAACGGCAGCTGCGTGTCGATGCTCGCCATGTCGTCGCCGTACCGGTTGAGGATGCGACCGCTGGGCGTCTTGTCGAAAAAAGTCATGGGCGCGTTGAAGAGCGACGCCGTCAGTCGCTCAAAGAGGCTTTTGGAGGCACGGAGACCGGCCTTTGCGATCGTGATGGCGCGCACGACCACCATGAGCATGCTGGTCAAGCACAGGCCGCCGTAGACGCCGAGGTAGTACGAAGCATTGTCGTTGGCCTCGGCCGTCGACGACCAGTGGCTGAGCCACACGTCGCTGGCGACCTGGAACGCCTGCCAGAGCAGCTGGCTGCCAAGCAGAAGCGCAATTGTTGGCGCGCCGCCGCACGCCGTCAAAAACTGAGAAAAGACGCGGCCCGCGACCTGGCCCTCTTCGCGGAGCTCGTCGTCCTCGGTCTCGGCCTCCATCGCGTCCTGAAAGTACGTGTCCCAGTGGTCGCTGGCGGCGATTGCCATCTCTGGCGCGGCGGGACGGCGCGGCACTGGCGCCGCCGGCGGCGAGCGCTGTGCACAAGCAACGATCGCGCCATCCTGCATCTCGACCACTTGGTTGACGTGCGCCGAGTCGATGATGTCGCGGTTGTGCGTCACGAGCACCACGGTTTTGGTGGCAAGCAGCGAGAAAATACACTTGGTCTAGATCCACAATGACACCACCATTTGCGAGGAGAGAGAACGTACGAGAATCTCTTTTTGGACGACGGCGTCAATGGCGGCGAAGGGTGCGTCCAAGAGAAGAATGTCGGCGTCGCTGTAGACAGCGCGAGCGAGACCGAGGCGCGCTTTTTGGCCGCCGCTGAGGTTGGCGCCCTTGGTGCTGGCGAGTGTGCGGTCGCCAAATGTCATTTGCTCAAAGTCGGCGACAAGGCCACACGCGTCGACGACGGCGGCGTACCGATTGGCCTCAAACGGACGGCCAAAGAGGATGTTGTCGCGGAGACTCATGTGCTGAATCCACGGCTCTTGGGGGCAGTAGCCAACGCGCCCATGGACCGCCATCCAGCCTGCGAGGACATGCATCTCGCCGAGCAGCGCCAAGCACAGCGACGACTTGCCACTACCGACTTTGCCGTGGACGACCACCAAGTCGCCGCAGCGAACACTCAAATGGAGCTTGGCCAGATGGACCTTGGTATTGTCCCACGACGCATCCACCGCTTCCATGGCCATCACAACCTAGTAGAGACAACATAAGCCCACGTCGATACAGGAAGAAGGCTCATACCTCGGGGGGCGTGGGCAAAACAGGAGGCGGCAACGGCTTCTCGGGCTGGCCAAGAAATTCACCGATACGGCGAATCGCTGTCCAGCCTTCGATGGCAGCCGTGATGTTGTCCGGGGCTTGCGTCATCGGCTCTTGCAGCATGCGAAAGAGAGCAATGGACGTAAAGACCTTGACTGGCGTCAGCGCATGCCCAAGCACCAGTGTGTAGCAGAAGAACGACGCGACCGACACACCAATCGGCGCAGCGTACATGCACAAGGTCCCGCCCGCCCCGCCCGCAAGAGGTGCCAGACGTACAGCAGCTCTACAACAAAGTTGCTACATACTATTGAGAGAAAAGTGGTGGCAGGTACCTGTGGAGCGGAGCGTCGAGAGCTTGGCTGCCACCTCGTTCTCCCACGCCTGAAGCTTGAGAACGAGGACAGAGCCAAATGATTCCTTGATGGCCTTCATGCGCGCGTCGCGGGCAGTGCTAATGTTGTCGTACGCGGTCGCTTCGACCGTCGCGATGGAGCCAGCGATCGTCATAGCGAGGACGATAACGGCGATGCCGGCAAAGACCGCAGCTCCGATCTCGCGGTAGAGTAAGTACACAATGCAAACGATCTGGCACGGGTAGATCCACGCGTTGAGAAGCGAGAGGAATCCCCATTCGACCGTGCCGAGGTCCGCAGTGTAAATGTTGGTGAGTTCTGGCGCGTCTTCGACGAGCAGGCTGCGTCGCTGGAGCTTCTGAAACAAAAGACCCTTCAGGCCCGACGTAAAGCTAATACAGCGTCATTTCGAGTCTCCATGCGAATGGCAGCGTACCTCAGGACCGTGGTTTCTTCGAGGACGACGCAGTGCGCATAGAGGAACGCATGCGACGTCATCGAGAGAAAGAGGAGGCCCACCGATTGGTACAGCGTGGACGGCGCGTCGACAGCGCCGACAACCTGGCTCAAGACCATGGGCCCCGCGAGCTCCAGCAGTCGCAGCAGCAAGCCGAGCAGCCCCATCCAAAAGTACGACCAGCCGTACACGCGCAGAAAAGCCATGACGACCGACGACGACGCGGCGTACGCGTTAGCGAGCGGCGCTGCGTTGACGCTGCACGTGGTCTCCGGCGCGAGGGGCCACACGTCATCGAGGTGGAGCTGGCGCCGCGTGCGAATGAGCGGCAGCGCCCAGGCGAAGAATGCGCACGAAACGGTGCTGGCCGAGCGAGCCGGGTGCGCGGTCGCAGGCGTGGCAAATGTTGCGTACTTGGTTCTTGTGGCTGTCATGGTGATAACCGAAGATTGACGAGCGTTCACACAGTGCACGTAGCACGCTGTCCAAATGACGATTGCAATATCAGTGCGCAGACCAGGTTGTCAACACCACCGGAACCAAGGCTGGAACGTTCCACTGGGAATCATAGCCACATGCATTCGCTACAGAGCATCACTCTCGACCCTGGTGGACGTGGCATGTGCTCAGCGCTTGAACAGTCAAGCAAAGGGCCAATACACAGTTTATTGGCCCTTGAGTCAGGTCTCGGAAGCTCCTGCAAGAGAGGTAGTCGCCCTACGAAGAGTGAGATTGTGTGCCGGTGTCGTGTTTCACCAGCTTTTTCAGCTCCACAGAGCCCATCCGACTTTTGCCCACTGCTGCATGACGAGCTTTCTGGTTATCGGTGCAGTTGATCGCACCTAATACACCATGTAGTTTGACGCTTTGTTGCTCCTGGATAGCTGGGCCCCAGGGCGATGCTTCGAGTTGCGTGTTTTCATCCGACGCAACACACTGTGTTTAAAACACCTCATCATGCTCGGCACGACGTCGCTGGTTGAGCTCTGCGCCACGCAAGCCGCCGGCAGCTGCGCTGTCGACGAGATCGCGGCCGCAGTGACATGGCTGCCGACCGAGGCCATCGAGCGTGTTTGGGCGCACATGTCGGCAAAGAGCTGCGGGAGCTGGAGCTGGCGCTGCCGTCGGCCTGTCCCGACGACACGGCCGCTCTCCTCGACGCACTGCAAGCGCAGTGGCGAGAGCGCATCCGTCGCGACGTCCGGAGCCTCAACCACAAGCTGGACTCGAGCAAATACTTTGCCAATGCGTCCGAGGCGACGACGTTCATTGCCACGACGCGGGTCGCCACGTGCTACCGGCGCGCGTACTGGGAGCACCAATTCCGGAAGCGGCTCGTCCAGCACGATATGGACCACGTTGCCGGCGCCGCGGAGAACGATGACGACGTTCCATTGTTCCTCTTCAGCGGTGTCGTCCACCACGTCAAGGTACGCGGACGCGAAATGACGCGCGCCAACGTCGACGTGCTTCTGTCGCTGCCCAGCATCGAGCGCCTCGAGCTGCACCACGCCCAGGTCTCGGACGACTTGTGGCGCCTCCTAAGCGAGCTCATTGAGGCGCTGCCGGCGCTGCGCGAGGTCTGCCTTCTTCACAGCAAGCTGCCCACCGTGGCGCCACTTCTCGCGGCCATGGCTCGGCGGCGCGGCCGCCCCATCGACGTGCTTGGCTTCTCGTCCGTCAAGATGTCGTCCATCGCGCTTCGAGAGATTGTGGCTGCTTTTCAACGCGATGGTGGCACTGGGCTTTGCCGTCTGCGCCTCAACAACTCGGTCACGGACGTTGCCGGCGTCAATGCTCTCGTCGCCAGCGGCAGTCGCGCGCTTGACACTCTCGTGCTGCAGTTCAACGAGCTCGAAGACGATGTGCTTGAAGACTTGACGGAACCATCGAGTCGTCTTCAGCACGTGTCGCTGGCGCACAACTGCCTCACCAATGTCGGTCCCCTCGCGCATTGCCGCCAGCTGCTGGCGCTCGATCTAAGCGGCAACGAACTCGGCGACACCAGGGCGTCTCAGATGGCAACGGACGTCTTGCCGCACTTGACCAACTTGAGAGAGCTCTACCTCGTCAACTGCGCCATCACGGATCTCGGCGTCACGGTGCTCCTGCCAGCGATTACGACGCAGGCCCACATTGCGACGCTCAATCTCAGTCGCAACTACGTCGGCCCAGCGTTTGGCACGGAGCTGAGTGCCTTTATTGCAAGCAACGCGGTCGTGCACACGCTCCACCTGAGCTCGATCGGGCTCGGTGACGTGCCACCGTCGCCGCTCTTGGTTGCGTTGGCGTCCAATCGCACGCTGCGACGCCTATCGCTCGGCGAGAACCGCCTGCGGAACCAAGGCGCGGTCGCCGTCTTCCGCGCACTTTTGCAGCGCGCGGCGTTGCTTCCGTTCGACGCCGTGGACCTCCGCGGCAACTTGCTCAGCGATGATGGGCTCCAAAGCCTCGTGGCAGCAACGTCCGGACGCAAGCGCAAGGCGTCGCAGCTCACGTGGTCGTCGGACGCGCACCTGATCGACGAGCTCAACCTCCAGGACAACGTGTTTCAACCCGAGACTGTTCTAGAGGCTTCTCAGCGCTTTGCTCCTTGCATCCAGCATGTCTTCATGAGCCACGTGGAGCCCGCGTCGGCGTTCGCGTACGACGATGAAGCCTAGTCCAATATTCGAGTTTCTTTAGCCCTAACCTCAGTATTGTACCCACTCCGTACTACTAGTATATCAGCTCTAGGATATGGACCCCATGGAGCTAGGAACGCCTTTACGTTGAGCCTGTAAATGTAGCCTACTCTGAGCCTGCAATCGACAGGCATCCTGCTGGTGACGCTGCTGCATGTACAAGGCATGGGAACCAAACATATCAGCCACCAAACCCATTTTTCACCTTGCATTGTGTTGGTCCCCTCAACGCTTTTGGCGCGGCTTGTCTTTTCGCTTGCCTATTGCTGCCGCCGCCTTTTCTTGTATCTCGGCCAGCGTGCACGGCTTGATGAGCTCGTCCGAGTCGTCCGAGTCGTCGTCGACAAAGTCGTCGGCCGCCGGCGGCGTCGGGTGGTACTCGTGTGCGCCGAGGTTCCCGTTCCCGCGCTTCACGGGGCCTTTGCCGGGCGACAGGCCGAGCGTCACGTCGAGTTTGCTGCCGCTCGACGACTGCGTGTAGACGATATTGTGCATCTGGACGATCTCGCCAATGCGCTTTTCGATGATGCCGAGGAACTTGAGCATGTTGATGTCCGTAAGGCCCGTCGAATTGAGCTGCTGGAGCAAGGCTTCATCGTTGTAGCCGATCTTGTGGAAGATGTTCATCGCGCCGGCCTTGATCGACTCGATAACTGCGTTTGACTCGGCGGCGCGCGCTTCAAAATGCATGGCCTTGACATGAGACTTTTCAATCTGGGCTTCGAGACTGGCCTTGATGCGCGCGCGGTTGAGGTCCGAGCCACAACCTTGCACTTCGTTGATCATGTCTTGGAATCGATTGTTCTCGATCTCGACCGACTCCATCTCCGTGTTGAGCTCGTTGATCATGTTGAAGAGCGAAAAGTTCTTCTCCTCCGCCGCGAGGAGCGCGCTCGCGAGCTCTCCAATGTCCTTGATGCCTGTCTTCTTGCGCACCTTGGCAAGTCCATCTTCGTACGCTTTGAGGCGCTCGGTTTGCTTGCGCAGGTCGGCGTCCTTGGCGGCAATGAGCCACGACGCCTTCATCGTGTCGTCCCGAAGCTTGGCGTCCGGCGTCCCGTTGTCGCGGCTGCCATCGTTCTCGTCGTCGTACTGCGCGAACATGGACCCGTGGTTCTGGATCGAGCGCATGGTCATACGGTCGACTTCGATCACCTCCCGGCGCTCGTTCCAATCGGCTTCAAAGCGCGCGCTTTCCTCGGCCGCTTGCGCCCGGAGCGCCTCGACTTGGCGCTGCGCTCGGTCCCGCGCGTCAAAGATGCTCTGCGTGAGCTGACTCGTCTTGGTGACGTCTTGCGCCTTTGTGTGCAATTCACGGTCGAGCTTTTCGTGGATCTGCTGCTGCTGGACCTTCTCGCGACGTAAGTTTTGGATTTGCTCCCGGAGCTTCTTGTTGGCATTGCACTAGTCCATATAATCATATCGAAAGCATGAGCAGTCATGGGCGTACGGCTTCGTTGAGGCGAATGAGCACTTTTTCCAGCCGGTTCTCCAAGATGCGCAGGGACTTTTGGTCCGACGCTGTGTCAAGAGGCGCCTTGGCCGCGGGCGGCGTGCTCGCGCTCATCATGCGCCGCGTCTCATTGTGCGTCTCGCGGTACGTCTATCCACAGCGTCATGTCATGCAGGTGGACGAGATGTGAGCGACCTTGAGCTGCTTGTCGAGCTCGACGCCGCGGCGCTTCTCGATCTCGACCTTGCGCGCATAGTAGTCGCCCTGGATCTGCAAGGTCCGGACTTGGTCCTGGAGGTACGTTGAGTCCCGTCCGCCTAGCGTCGATGAGCCCCCGACGTCGCCGAGCCGCGCCCGCTCGGCCATGCTTGCTCGTGTCGGTTCCGAGAATAGTGAAACTTCAAGGGCTATTTCCTGTCGGCCAATCCGATGACGCGTTGCGCCTTCTTTTCACCCAATGAGAAGCCACGACCCGCGAGCCAATCCAAAATTGCTTCTCGCCGGCGATCGGTTGTTGTTGAAGTGGGTCGTCTCACCGGCGATCGGTTCTGGAATCGATTTCACATCAATGAGGGCGAGCTCCGCCAAGGTGCACTGCTATCGCCCAATTTCATGTCTGCCCAGAGTGACCTTGAGTGAAGAAAAGAAAACGTGGTCGATATACAGGAGACCGGTGTAATTTCCTGACCGACCCCAGAACTATCGAACATCGATGGTCATTATCGCGTGAACAGTGCCGAGGTGAACACCGTAGTTGGCCCACGATGCGAATCGTCGTCGAGAATTTGGATCTGACAATCGTCATCTCCATGCGCCCAGTAGAATGAGTTTGATGCTACCGAGACAGGCATCGAGAACCTATCGCTCTCGCATCATCGTCTCGTCGCCACGCTGCGGTGGCCACATAAGCCCGAATTGTGTTTGAATTCAAGTTCATGTCACATTGCACCAATAGAACGCTCTCAAATGTATGTACTAGAAAGGTCACGACGACGGACGACGAGCCGCAGACGGGTAATTTGTTTGAGCGCGCGCTAAATACGCAGGAAGGGCATGGGCGCCATACCGCGTGCTCGCCGTGGATGCTAGGGTGCTGCTGAGTTTGAGACCCAACGCAGTGTTTGTCGTGAAATGCACGACGAAAGCGCTGCACATCAAGTCCTACAAGAACATGATGCCGGACATCAAGGTGCACGTCTCGCCGAGCTGCCGCATGTTTTTTCACGAAGACGACTTTGAGGTTGAGCACTTGCGCCAAGGCTGCTGCACGTACTGCTGGGAAAAACCTGCCTCGCTGCTGAGAACTTCCAGTCAAACTCGTCAGCAGCTTACTGGTCATGGATTATCGTTCCCCACCACGGTATTATTGGGACCAACAACTAGATCGAACGCCCGCGCAGCCAAAATCTCGATTCAAGAATACGTGCACCAGTGCTGATTGCGATCATTGTGCCCGAAGAAGCCGAGATCACGCGCCTCGCAGCGTCTTTGGTTGTGACGGGCACCTTTGCTGAGCTCTGTGCGCATGCCGCCATCAACGAAGCGGTCCTTCGCGACATTGTGGCTGTCGGAAAGAAGGGAAAGCTCCACGGTTTCGAGCTGATCAAGGCGCTGCTGCTGCACCCTGAGCCGTTTACGATTGAAAACAACCTCGCAACGCCGACGTTCAAGGTCAAGCGCAGCGAGGTCAAAAAGGTATTTGGCGCCGAAATCCAAGCGCTGTACGCCAAGACGGGCGACGTTGTCGCGGGTAAAAACGTCAGCCAACACTAAGGAAACAATTGCATTAAAAGAAAATGTGCAAGATCTGGAGACGTAGCAAGTAAGTATTATTAGGGTCAATATGACGTTGCTTTGCATCTATATCAGCGCAACAGTGCTAGAAAGGTGGCCGCGTACGTGCAAGGCAGTCTTCGACAATATTGTGCGTGGACATGCCGG